TACCTGAATACGGGGAAAGCAGGGGAATACAATAGACCCAAGAGGCCGCAGTGTTCTGGGCCAAACCTAACCCTGCCTGTTTACAACCGATAAAGATAAAGAGGAGAAGTTGATGCATCCAAAGAAAACTGGCTTAAGAACGACAGTAAAACCAAATCGAATATTATCTTCTTATTTGGCCCGAAGAAATCCGCTAGAAAAGCGACACCTCTCAAACAACTTACTCTACAACGTATGGAAAATAGCGAAGATATACGTGATAACATCGAAAAACTGAGTGAGTTAGAAATCAGTTTAAACTCTGATCTGTTAGCCATCATGCTCCTCTATAGTCTACCAACTAGTTTGTGCAATCGAATCCCGAGATGAACTACCATCACCTGAAATACTACTGTAGAGGTAGTGAAATAATATAAATCTAGGAGAAAATGCCATGTATAGCTGAAAGAATAGGTTTATGCAAGGGAAGAAGGAAGAAACTTTACAGATCATCTTTAAATATCGTTGTCATAAAAGAATAAATGTTTGTCACAAAGCTGCGAATGTTAAAGTAAATAAAACTCAATTATCCATCCATTGTATCAAAGTCAAAGACATCTGACTTTTCGAATCGGAGGAAGTATAACAGAGAGGAATAAATGGTTCTTAGAAAGCGGATAACCTATGCAATGAAATTAAGAAATTCTCCAAAATTTCGAGGAGTCAACCGTTAACCAAAATAGATGCCTACGATACAGTCTTTTTTACCGTAGACACTTTTAACAAGAAAAGACACAGCATTTATTATCATATACGTAGACGATATACTTGTGAAGAGCCCTAAAGAAGAGTACATCGTGGAATTCAAAATATACTATTGCTTCTACGATAATTCTTATAAAAAATTCAACTTACCATAAATAAAAATGTTGTTCCTAGTCGTATAATATTATTAATAGAAATACTACAGTTTATCATGATAAAATACAGTTCTAATGATATAGTTTAACTACGCCAAAAGGTGAGTACAGTTTTCGATGCAAGCCTCGATATAAACTTTTATTGTACTATTGGCAATGTGTAACTTTAAAAAGTCTGAGGTAAGTACGTCAGTTCGTCACTTATTAGTTAATACACTTCGATATTGTACTTAACTTTCTGAAGAATTTTCTATTTTCAAATCAGAACACTAAATAGCATTTTTTTCTACATAATTAAGCATCAATTAATTTTCAAGAGACATCCTCGAAACAACTTTAAAGTTTAATAAACACAAAGAATTTTCTTAATTTAAAAGCATTATCGTTCATCGTTCCAACAAGAATGTTTTCAAAACTCAAATATTTACAAAAGATTGAAGATTGTAGATATTCAATCGTTTTTGAAAACTTCTTTATTGTAGTTTGTAATCCCTAAAGGAACAATGTGCCACTTTGTTAACTTGTTTTATTAAAAAGTTTTTAGATTTTTAACACGAATATAATACAGAGATTAGAAACTTGGAAATAAACTAAAATTCTTAATCTTATGTGGAATCTCTAATTCAATGTATTAATCATCAACCTAAAAGCAGATTAGTTGATAAACGATATATGATGGTACTACAACTGCTAGTGTCTGAAGAGTTCCAAATAGAACGAAACCGTAAAGCTCCTATGCCAAATCAAAGAGTTCTATGTAGAAAAATTCGATAGCCAACATGCTTTACTCTTGAAATCCAATTTAAAGTAAAGAAAGGCTAATATCCAGAAAAGCGTGGATAGCGCTTCTATGACGATAAACACAGTTTGTTTGTTTGTTTGTTTGTTGTTAATGTCATCATACGAAGGCGTCAAGGTTATCGAGCGTGTCACGGGACATCTCCTTCCTTTATTTCTATCATTGTAGTAAAATTCCTTGGAAAACCGCCTCAGAAACGTATACTTTATTAAACGAATGATATGGAGATGAGTACTTATCAGTATAAACCATCGGTTAAGTATTTGGAAGTTACTGAATTGGTATCATTAAAAAATAAAGTATTAAGCAGACTATAACAAAATAAAGTCAGTTGCTCCATCAGGACAATATACTTGGCCATGGATACCAACCAAATTACTGTAATGTAGACATAGAGTTCGAATTCTTTAACATATTTTCTCATTAAGGAATTTTGATCTTTCCCATGAATTTTAGAGTTTCAAATCTTGATAAGAATAAAGCCATTGTCGCTGAAAATTTTTGAATACATGTAGCACGCTCCAGAACTAGTTTTCATACAAATAAATTTTTAATTTGATGTGCTTAGTTCTTCGATGAAACTCTGAGTTCTGCGACATATTTACAGCAGATTCGTTGTCAATCATAAAAAATTTAAAATCTTAAAAACTTTTACGCTAAATCAACTCTCGACGTCTCACTAGTAGCTACTATCTCTGCCTCAATTGTAAAAATGACCACTAAACTTTTTCTCTGGCTCTTGCAAAGGTAGAAAATGCTTGACTAGTGGTTTTATCCCAAAAAGTCCAACTTCCTACCTTTTGGATCAACTTTATAAAGGATTCCGTAGTTGTCTTGGTGTATCGAAAAATTTTCTTGACTCTTAGAGAGTCTTAGAAAGTCTTAGAAAGTCTTAGAAAGCCTTAGAAAGTCTTAGAAAGTCGTAGAAAGTCTTAGAAAGTCTTAGAAAGTCTTAGAAAGTCTTAGAAAGTCTTAGAAAGTCTTAGAAAGTCTTAGAAAGTCTTAGAAAGTCTTAGAAAGTCTTAGAAAGTCTTAGAAAGTCTTAGAAAGTCTTAGAAAGTCTAAGAAAATCTTAGAAAGTCGTAGAAAGTCTTAGAAAGTCTTAGAAAGTCTTAGAAAGTCTTAGAAAGTCTTAGAAAGTCTTAGAAAGTCTTAGAAAGTCTTAGAAAGTCTTAGAAAGTCTTAGAAAGTCTTAGAAAGTCTTAGAAAGTCTTAGAAAGTCTTAGAAAGTCTTAGAAAGTCTTAGAAAGTCTTAGAAAGTCTTAGAAAGTCTTAGAAAGTCTTAGAAAGTCTTAGAAAGTCTTAGAAAGTCTTAGAAAGTCTTAGAAAGTCTTAGAAAGTCTTAGAAAGTCTTAGAAAGTCTTAGAAAGTCTTAGAAAGTCTTAGAAAGTCTTAGAAAGTCTTAGAAAGTCTTATAAAGTCTTAGAAAGTCTTAGAAAGTTTTAGAAAGTCTTAGAAAGTCTTAGAAAGTCTTAGAAAGTCTTAGAAAGTCTTAGAAAGTCTTAGAAAGTCTTAGAAAGTCTTAAAAAGTCTTAGAAAGTCTTAGAAAGTCTTAGAAAGTCTTAGAAAGTCTTAGAAAGTCTTAGAAAGTCTTAGAAAGTCTTAGAAAGTCTTAGAAAGTCTTAGAAAGTCTTAGAAAGTCTTATAAAGTCTTATAAAGTCTTAGAAAGTCTTAGAAAGTCTTAGAAAGTCTTAGAAAGTCTTAGAAAGTCTTAGAAAGTCTTAGAAAGTCTTAGAAAGTCTTAGAAAGTCTTAGAAAGTCTTAGAAAGTCTTATAAAGTCTTAGTCTTAGAAAGCCTTAGAAAGTCTTAGAAAGTCTTAGAAAGTCTTAGAAAGTCTTAGAAAGTCTTAGAAAGTCTTAGAAAGTCTTAAGAGAACACTGACTATAGGAAAGATGAGGATTTGAACTTGTCATGAGATACATCAGGGCTCCTACTGTCCTACTATTTCTCTGTAGAAAAAAGTATATACGCAGTCTTCATTATTACCTATCTGGTTAGTATATTTGGTAATAGGTATAGAGACTGGCTAACATTTTAAATATGTCCAACATTTTTCTTGTATAAGAAGACTGGCTTGACTTTAATTTTGAGTTCTTTCTCAAAATTAATTTTTCAAGTTCTTGTCATTAGACTTTAACAGACCATCTTCATAAACCACTGGAAGCATAATTTTTGAGCTTGCTTATTAACAAACAAGCAAGGATCAGTTTCACTCGATTTGGATTCTAATTTAGTACAAACTTTTTATTAAAACAAGAAGGAAAGAGGGAAGAGTTTGTTTTAGACGGTATAAACTGTTCTGTAAGTAACAAACTCGTTTACTCCCATATTCGTCATCCTCAGTTGGTTTCATGTATACATCTTCTTCTAATTTACTATAAGGGAAAGCTATGCAGATATCGAACTGTGTTAAAGATATTTTCTCTTATGGTTGCAGTATTTACAAAAAGTACAAATTTTGTTGTAATCAATATCTTTCCTTTATGAGTTTCCATGTTGGAGTAGATAATAACCCGCAGTGATTAGCAACTAAACGAAATGATTGTGACTATAAACTGTTTTTCATCGAGAGTTATACAGTAAAACTTCAATAAAGTCAATGATTATCAGGGTCTGGTTGGTGCTCGCCTCGGGAATAACCATGTATGGAGTCACTATTGTCCGCCTTTCCAGTTGCACATAAGCCTGAGATAGCAGAACTTCTTGGTCTCGTTGTTCTTCGTCCGCTAGGGTGATAGTGGATTGGACAGCTCTAAAGCTATACCCTTTGGTCCGGAGGAGCTGGTATAACTACAACTGGTGGTTGGCAACACTTAGCCGGGCTGCTGTGTCCACATATGCCGTTCTGGTGATGCCATCAATTATAATTTCCAAGACAAGTCTCTCTCTCAATACTGGGCTGAATTTCGAACCCAACAAGCAGAAACTTAATGGAGTTGTTTTGGCCGATGCATTGCAGTCAAGATATTTACTGTGGACGAATCCGGGTTTCTTACCTCCATAGAATATAATACCTTTAACTTGGCCTCTTCTGACCTCTGGGCTTTTTGCTTCTTTCAACATTATTCTTCGCCGTGTCCAACGATTTTGCAGTAGCCACATTTATAGTCAGTTTTTCAGTCTCCTCTTGTCTTTAGGCGGTCCTTTGTCTCTCATTTCCTCGTCTCGGTGATCCTCTACGGTGCGGGTCTTTAGAAGTAGTTCATCGATTGTGGTAACGCCTTCCCTCGCGATGGCTCGTCTAAAGTAGATCCAGCTGTTATGACTCGGAGAGCTAATTCGGCTAGAAGGGCTTCTTACATAGGAAAGCTTCCGTCGAAGTCCTGGGTTCCTTGGTCTTGGCAAAAATATTCATGCATACCTTGTAGTATGGTCGTTTGGGTGCAAAGGCTTCACATATCCTTGTAATGACTTGTGTCCATCTGGAGTTTTGATCTTTGATCCCTTGCCACCAGATCTGTGCAATTCCTTGCAGCAGCAATGGTAGTCCTTCCAGGGCCATCTTGTCACATATCCTCTCGCATCCTTTATAGATGGTGGTGACTGTCAGGAATTCCTCGACTTTTCTCGTGTTTCTGACTTCATTGTACCGGGTTGTATATTGCACCAAACTTCCTTGCTTGTGGAAATCCTCTGGCTTTAACCTGAGGCTGCTGATTAGTTTTTTGAACCGCTTGTCCGATAGTGTAGCTATTTTTGGATTGAGACGTGAGCTTCTATTTATCTCCTTGTCTTCCTGTATTGGGTACATTTACTAGATGGCGTCTCTGTTAGATCGCAGGAAGGTGATGGCTCTGCTTTGTCACTATTTTTGGCTAACCGTGTTTGGAGCAGAAAAAATGTAGATCGTATTGGCTTACTGGTGTCGTAGTTTGGGCCACTGATGTAGACACAATTAGAACATTTTAACACTTATCCACAAACATTATTTCTTCCCCAGTAATTAAAATTATTAAAAATACCGTCTTTATTATATCCAGACATCAATAAATTGGTTGGTAACTGCATTGAAATTATTTATCACTTTCACTATTTAACAGCATCAGTTTTATTAAAACTAAAAAGTCCAATTAAAACCAAATTCGAATGCCCAGACGCTTGTAAAACATTCCAATTATATTAACTTTGCCTCCTCACTAATTTAATTAATCCTTGGCAAATAGGGTTAAAATTTTTAATTTCCCAAGAGAAACAGTTGTAATACAGAAACTAGCGCCAAATGAGTTTCACGTTTTTCATACGGATAATGATCATTTATATCCTGACCTGAAGGCTTGTAATGAGAAATAGTATACTACATGCAGAAAGTAACACTATTCACATGAGTGTAAAAAATCACTTTCGCACAAGTAATATACATAATTTTTCCTACTATCACAATACAATTTTGCAATTGGCAATAAAAATTGAGTTTTTTGAATATGTTTTTATTTAAGAGATAATAAATATATTCTATACTTTATAAACTAACTGTATATTTATTCTGTGTTGTCAAAGTGTTCATGATTTCAACTCACGATAGCCTGAACCGTACCATGTACAGATATTACTGCATAGTCACAGAAAGGACGGACATAATAAACATGCATGACAGACGGATCAATAAATTATTTACCAAAAATACAGGATCAAATACCCATAAACAATAACAAGACCATAGTTAGATCTCTAACTTTAACCAGAATGGTTGATGTAAAAAATGATACTTTTATATTATGTTATGTTTGGAGTTATTGTATTTCCATAATTTTTAATTCTTTATTATAAGTATACAGGGCGAATCTTAAGTTGTTACTTTTTTAACTGTATGTAGAAAATTTTAAAATAAATAACTATTTCAAAAAACTCATAAATAAGAACCTTATAATAATTCTATCCAAAATGTATATAATATGGTCCGGTATAAAAATGTTGATTATATTTATACTGTTGTAAGAACCATTCACAAAACTAAACTTTGCAGGGTAAATGTTTAAACGTATCTGTATCTGTAACGTGTGAAGGGTGGGTTACCCCCACGGCACTTAGGCCTCATTAGGCCTATTATGCATTCTCCTAAGATGATAGGCACCTCCTAGCTCGTGAGCCAGCCTACATAATTTAATGTAGTTGACAACGTCGCCAAGAGGTTCTTCTCTTATATCGGCCGGTGTTAGCCGATACTCGCCGAACATAAATCGTAAAGGATATGCTCGATGGTCTCATCTTCTTCTTTGCACCATCTGCAGAGTGCGGATTCTGACAGCCCCATGATATGGATATATCTTAAAGAATACATAAGAAATTTAACAAATTGCCTGAGTTTCAAATTATTTCAAACCAAATTTCAAAATTTATTTTTGATTTTTAAACAAAATGGCAATAAGTTTGCAGAGTTACGTCATTTTTTTCTGAAACCAGTAAAGCCTGGCTAGATACCAAAGGGACCTTTACCAACTATACACAAGCTTTAGATCAATCAAAAATTGACGGACCGTTAATTGATTTTTCATTTAGTTTCGAAAGGAATAAGCGTCAGAAAACTGCTGATTTGCACGAGGAGAATTCGGTCGAGATTATCTGTTATCTGGCTCAAATGGAACTCAGAAAATCTGGTAATGTCCAAGCCTCCAAACTATTACAAGAAATTAATAAGACTTCTGCGAGAGCTACTAAATATATAATTGCTTTAAATAAAATTATGACCTCAGATACTAAATCACAATTGCCACCAGATGAGGCACTTTCAGTTTTAGTGGAAGTGAACTTATCTCTTAATAAATATAATATAATTAGAGAAAAGGACATTTAAAGTCAAGCTTACATGTGGCCCTAATAATATAATAGTTTTTTGAGTATATTTTGCACCTTTCATATAAACTCCCACTAAAGGTTAGAAACACTATTGATAAAGAAAAGGCCTTTGAAAAAAAAAAGAGAATTTAAACAGGAATTAGGATTAATAATTGATCAACCAAAACCGGTATACGCAAGTAGCAATGATGATAATATGGCAAGTCTCCTCTAAAACAACACAAATAGGTGTAATTTTGGAAGGAATTGCCTGGAAACAGCACAATTACTCATAGATAAATATCCTTGGTATTATATGACGCCAACAGTTCACTTATTTTTAATTCAGGTGCAAAAATTATTCGTTTTGTTCTTCTTCCAGTTGACAAGCTCTCAGAAGAAGCTGCAGAAAGTAGAAACAATTATTGTAAAAAATTTAGAGAAAGCTTCGCCAGAAAAATAGCTCGAAAGAAAACTAATGAAGATGTTTTCAAGGGGCATCTTCTCTCTTCAAATCCTGTTATTACTGTTATTAAAAAACTCAAAATTAAATAAAAATAATTTTTCTAGCGAAGCTTTATCCATGCTTCTACCACCGGCTGTTGATGACAAATTAGTCATGTTTCTGATAGTGATTACTCTTTGGATTGTAATTTTAATTAAATTAAAACGTTAATTTAGTATTTTGATAATGTTTGAAGTGTGTCCTGTAGCAAAATATTCTGTTGTGTTTTATTTATTTTTTGTCTTCAACAAATAATGTAATTTCAAAGAGGGATAATTTTGTAATAAAAAATAGTAATTAATATATCTACTAATACCTAATAAGCTATTTTACTACTTAAATTTCTCACAACTTTTTAAGAAATAGCCTGTACCTAATTTAGTTATAATGTCAATAATATCTCTGTTGATATTATTTTGTTACATTTACACTTTAGACATATTCCAGAATACAAAAGTATAAGCTTTAATGCTTTACAGAATTGTTGGCAAGTTTTGATACTTTTTGCCCCTGTGTGCGACGTCTCTTTGATGTAAATATCAAGGGGAGTGAGACTAAGAATAACTTCCATGGCTCTGGTCGGTGTTGTTTTCATGGCTCCTGTTATGTTAAGACATGCTGTGAACGTAAAAAAGATACAATTGAATTTTTTGGAGTTGTCCATACTTTTCTATGACTTATCCCACCTGATCTGCAATTATCCGTGCACTTGTTGGATCTTCTTCAAAAACTTTATTTAAAATGTGTTCCTCTAAACGCACTTTATTTTGAATTAACCAATACTGAACAGAGATACACACTACTAAAAGAAATCAGGCGACTGAATTACCAAAACGTGATTCATTTACATAAGAAAATCTGAAAAAACAGATTAAAACATGAACGGACTTATTAATTCGTTAAATTTTTTGTACACAAGTTCAGGCCCGAATTTAGAATTTATCTTTATTATTTTTTATTTTTTTTGAATTGAATTTTTTGAAATAGATGTTTATTTTAATGACTTCCATATACATTCAAAAAGTATCATCTGTATACAGATATAAGGAAAGTATAGGAATCATGATTTTTTTCGACCTCGAGTTTTCGACGGATTTTTACGTTTTGAGGTCCCCTGAATCCGTTTTGACTATTTTCGCGATGATGTCTGTGTGTGTGTCTGTGTGTGTGTGTGTGTGTGTGTGTGTGTGTGTGTGTGTGTGTGGACTTTTGAGGGCTTACGGGGACATTTTCCGAAAAACGCTTATGGTTGCGAGGACCGTTTTTCTTGTTGGGACATCAAACCGGTACCTATAAGAAATTAACCTGATTTTGATAATCTACGTCATTTTTGGAGTCAAATGGTACCTATATCATTATTAAAATTTTTGGTCCCCATAACTAATGTGCCAGGTGGATGAAGTTCTTATAACACACCGGAAGGGGGCGCCTACATCTATACACTTTGTGTGTATGTTTTAAAGATTGCATTGGTTGTGAGGACCAAGTATACACAATATATTTGAGGTTGATAATATTTTGACTTTACATCTAGAGACTCTTGCTCTCAATGCCTTCAACGTGATTTCAACACTTTCGAATTGAGATCTCTCTGTCCACTTGATTAACAGAGTGTCTTTAAAATTTTTCGCATCTCTTAGCTTTTAATTATGGGTTATCAATATGACGCATCTCATTTCTCTTAAACCCTTCACCCATCAATCAAGGTTTTTAGATTCGTCAAGTTGTGAGTTAGAAATAAATCTTCAATGAGTATACATTTTTTAGATGTGTTCTAGAACAATAGTTATCAAACCCCCACATTGCTTAAATAATTTTAGATACAATATTTCTAGACAAATTAATATCTTAAATATGGTATAGGTATTTGGAATATAAAGTGCAGATAGTGTAAAAATTAAAGTTATTTAAAAATATATATATTTTTTAATTTTACTGTTTTCAATGTCTAATAGGTTAAACATTGGGCATACATTTTATATTTTAAATCATAATGTTGCATAACATTCAATCAACTGGACAATGAAAATAATTAAATTTAAAAATAGTAATTTGTGCAACAAGAGTGGATATGATGGCCATATCACACGAAGACGATATTTAAGCACAACGCCGTAGGCGAGTGCGATGTGGACAATCCACTCGAGTTGTACGAACAGTATATTTTTTGTAAGACCCACTAACGAAAATTTATTAAATTAAAAAAAAATATATTTTAGGTTATTAAGAAATAATTTATGACTTTTAATAATTTTTAAAATAAAATAAACAAAAAAATGGAGAAAAAATGTTCATTTCATTTTTCCCCATCCGGGAATCGAACTCCAATCTTCCGTTTGGAGGGCAAAAACGCCAACCACCTATTCTTTTATTTTTGTTGCTTTAATACTCGTAATTAAATTGACTTCATATAGTTTTATTTAAATTAACAAATTATTTATAATTATAGACGAAATAAAAAAAGAAATGCTTTT